TAGATTATTGTACAAAGAAAATATTGTTTTAAAAACATTGACATTTTCAAAACAATTCAGATAATAAAGACACCACCAACAGAACCATCAACCAACCACAAACCATCAACAGAAAGAGTAGTACGAAACGACGTCATAATTGGGTAGTAATTGAATTGTTAAATATTGCTAATAGTCAATGCTAGCAGACATTTCTGTTTACCAATATGACGTCATAATTGGTTTAAACTTTCATTCATTTGGGCTTAACAATTTAGTTTGACGACAAAAAGGAGAAACTTGCTTTGCTTTTATATGCAGAACGATGAAAATTAATTTAAACAGTTAGAAAAAGAACACAGATAATATGAAACAGCCTACAACTAAACATCAACGTATTCAAACTTGCAAAATGTCATTCCAATCATGATAAGATACAGATCAACGATCAGTAATCAAAGGAAGGATGGTTGTTATAATTTAGAGGGGGGGGGGGAAGGACAAGCAAATGAAAAGCAAACTGTGAATTGGCAGAAAGGTAAAAAGTATGGCGAAAGGTAAGGTAAAGTATAACAGATCAAAAAGAGAAGCATAAACGAGTATAATTAAGAAGAAAGAAATACGACAGGGCCTTATTGGACTTTATTTCTTTATATATCCTACAACATGTGAGGAACTTATCAACAGTAGATGATTTATTAGTATGTTTTTATTATTATTTTGGATGATAATTTTATATTGAACCTTCTGGCTCTAGATTGTAGTACGGAGGATTTTTTTTCGCGCGTGGCAACCCCCCAAAGGCCGGATCGGCGAATTCGTCCAAAAAGGCACCGTTCCAACCTAGTCCCTATTGTATAAATCACGTATTTTATTTCTAGATTGGTGACCCGGCTTCCGTCCGGCGTCTTGCCAACTTTGGGGGCTGTTATATAAGAAGAAAACCGTGGACGTCGAACCCGAGAATGAAGGGAAAAAAGGGGGAAAACTGTCGGAAGGGGTCATGGGTCCGTACCGTCTCGCAGGTCGACACACACTCCAACGGTACAATCTGAAACGTCTGATTTTCACGTACCTCGGACTGTTTGTCTATATATAACCGGGTAATTTTTTTTTCCCCGAGCCTTCTTGGGCCCTTCGTTCGGAAAAAGCTTTCACAACCGATCGATCTGGCACACACTCGCACGTACGGCAAACACATCGGACAAATGGCCCACCGTCTCAGATTCCTGGGCTGGGGAAAAGCAGAGACGTCCTGGGTATTCCAGTTTGAGGACACACAGGAAAATACACCGAAGCAAAAAATATTAAAAAATTAATTAAAACTAACCAACAGGTAAAAAACGATCTATTCCTTTAAAGTAATTCAACAGGTGACCACGTAAAAGCAGTAAAAGATAAGTCTAAGCAATCAAAAGGAGAAAATAAAACTCAAAAGCACAAAAGGGTTTGATAAATGAACCAAATGTATCATACCTTTCAAAGTGGCTTTGCAAACAAATCGCATAAGGTCATGTGAGTTAATTAATAATAAAGTTAACAGCGAAGTATTTGACTTTTTACCTACTACTATTACGTTTTACCCCTTCCGATGACTTTCTTTGAATATACACTTTTGATCTACTTTGATGGAAGGGTGAAATGATGTTTTCGAAGTTTCAATCACTTGACGTTCACTTGTAGGCTGTTTCTTATTATCTGTGTTCTTGTTGTCGAATCTGCCCATTTCTCTCCCTCTCTCGCATATTATTGTTAATGTAGCAATTATTGTCATTAGACTGTTTGTAAAAGCGTAATTCCATGTCTAAATCATAAAGTAAATCCTATTGAAATAATAATGCGCGATCTATACTCCACATCAAGAACACAGATAATAAGAAACAACCTACAATTAATATCAAAGGATTGAAACTTGCAAATGTCATTGCACGCGTTAATCAATAGAGATCAAAAATATAAAAAAAAATTTAAGTAGTAATCAAATAGGGTATTCAACTGTATTCAAACTTGTCCCATATCATTTTTCACCCTTGGTCATTACAGATCAATCACGAATCAACAATCGTACAAAACGCAATTATACTATAGTCTGAAGTGGGTATTTGATATCATATGTATGTATTTCCTGTTTTCCCCCCCATCTCACTGTTATTACCTATGGTTAGGGGTGTGTTTCTTAAAATAACAGGGGGGCCCAATTTGGCCCGCCCGAGTACCATCCCCAGTGTCAAGCTTACCCACCCTGCCATGCCTTAGGAGCGGTAATTTCCCTCGGAAATGGTTGCGCTTACCCTTAAAAAAACAGGGGTGTTTCCTCACATATAGAAATTGTATGTGTATATTATTTGTAAATAATTAATTTATTGGTAGTATGTGATTAATGAAAGGGCAGATAGTGGGCATCAGTCATAACAGTGAGAGGGGCTAGGTAAAAGCAGTAAATGTAAGTATGATATCAGATATCCACATTAGACTGTGGTATAATTTCGTGGTTTTTTTCCGAGTATTGATTATTGATCTGTAATGGCCAAACGGTGAAAAATTACATCGGACAAATTTGAATACTCCCTCGACCCTTTCGTGAATGTCGAGAGGGAAAAACACATGTAAAAAGATTTTTTCACCAATATGACATCATTGCAGAAGAGTGATTTTTCTAATGGAGCTCAATTTTAATACAACGTGACGTCATTGTTTGGGAGTAATTGGACTATTAACCTTGAAACGGATAGATGAATTTTACCTTTCATAATAAAAAACGAAAGGAATTGATAACAAACATAAATTCTCTTTTAAACCCCATCAAATTTAAATGCAAAAATTAACATTCCACGATGAGGTCATCATCAGGGAGTAATTTTTCTAACGAAGCCTAATATTAATAAGCCATTACGTCATTTTTTGGGAGTAACTTAAACCTTCATTATCAGACATGAACTTTACTTTTTACAACAACAAAATAATGAAGATAATTAATAGAAAACAAATCAAAACTCTTTTACACCAAGAAAACAGACAATAAACAGTCCTACGAAAAAAAGTTATTTATAATATAAATTTTTGCATTTGCTTCATGCCTAATGACATCAATTTGTTTCTGCCAATCCAAATTTGATGAAATGTAAACTCCAAATCTTTTTACATTTTTTAACTTTTAGTTTTAGTTTATCAAGAATTATTTCTATTCGTACGAGTTCATTATTTTGTTAATTAGTTGAGCATTTCCTAATATTATATATGAACTCTTATTTGGATTCAATTTTAATCCATGATTTATACTCCACTCTGATATACATTTTAAGTCTTCATTTAAATTCTTTCAAGGCCCATCTATGTTTTGTAACTTGCTACCATCATATATATATATATATTTAGGTCATCAACAAACATTACACATAAAGTATATTTTGTTATATTAAATATTTCATGGTCATATATGGGAAAAAATAGATATGATAACGTTGATCCTTATTTAACTTCTCTATTTGCAATTATCCACTTCAGAAAAACCTCCATTTTCAGTGTTTTCGCACTGCTTTCTATACTCAGATATGATTTAAAAAATAAAATCAACTTATCGGAAAATGCAATTGATTTTAAAATTTTAAGTAATAGGGTGTATACTGCTAAAGGCACTGTTAAAATCAATTAAAACTAATAATGTTACTTTGTTATGATTTATGTTATTTGTAGCATCATCTAGTAACTTCATTCTAGTAACAGAGAGAGAGAGAGAGTGAGAGAGAATGGGAAAATTTTAATACAATGTGACGTCATTATTTGGGAGTAATTGAACTATTAATCTTGAAAGGCATAGGTGAACTTTACCTTTCACAATAAAGAACGGTAGGAATTGATAGCAAACGTAAATTATCTTTTACATGAATAACAGAGAAAATCAAGAGGGAAAAACAGGGAAAGTATTTATTAAACCCAATCAAACTGAAATGCAAAAAAATTAACATTTCACGAATATGACGTCATCATCGGGGAGTAATTTTTCTTCCGAAGCCTAATTTTAATAAGACATTACGTCATTTTTTGGGAGTAATTGAACTTTAACCTTCATAATCAGATATGAACTTTACTTTTTACAATAAACAACGAAGAAAATTTATTAAAAAATAAATAAATAGGGAGAAAAAAAAATTTTACACCGAGAAAACAGACCTACGACTAAACTTGACGAGATGCCCTTTGACACGTTTGCCAATACAGATCAATAGGAGAACACGTGAGTGTGTTCCGATGATTGAAATCCTTTCATTTCAGCCGAGTTGTCAATGCACAAAATTGACAAAAAATAAGAAGGAAAATGTTATAACATTATTTTATTATTAGACTTTTCATAGTTGTGCCTGGGCGTGCATCCTCCAACCCTCCCTAATAAGAAAGAAAATCCATAAATCTACGTTTCGTAAAAAAAAGTGTGGGACTTAGAAATGTTTGGACCAAAACAAAAAGAAACAAAGAAAATAATCAACGACTCCCGTTCAACAGGTTACCCTCCCCCGCACCCACGTGGGGTCGGTTCAAATTTTCAACAACCCCCCCCCGCCAGTGCAAAAGTCGGCCAAAGAACCGCAAAACTCACAAAAATTAATTAATTAAAAAAAAAAGAAGCCTTTGGCGTCAAAAGCCAAAAGTGCCTGGCAGGGGACCTTGGTCTGAATCTGAATAACTATAATTAGATCACACCTGTTTTTTCTTTTTTTTTTTTTTATAAATCCCTTATTTTATTATTATTTTTTTAACAAGCTCTCTAGTCTGTTATAATCTACGGTTTAGTGGCCAGTAAAAAAAAAATTAATTTTTATTCGCTAAGGTGGCTTAAAGACGGTCGTGTCTGAGGAAAGTCCGTAAACTTTGTCACTTTTTTTGCATAAATATTTTATTTCACTTTTTATATATTTTCGTGTGTGTCTGTGTGTGTGCGTGTGCGTGTGTGTGTGTGGGGGGGAAGTACTTAGAGTGTACTTTTTTAAAAAGTCACAGTATATAAAACTTTGGTCTGCCTTTACCTTTGTTTGTTGTCTTCTCCTTTTGATTTTTGTCCCCTTCGCAAAAATCGTTTAAAATTGTTTTTGTCAAATATATATTTTCTTCTTTGGAAAAACACTTTTCACAAACACAGACACACACATGCACACACCAGATCACAGTATCACTTGATTGATTTTCGACCCCGCCTCAAAAAAAAATTTTAAAAAACTGTTGACGGGGGTGGCTTTTCACCTCTCCTTCCAGCACGGAATTTTCGAATGTGTCGAAAAATTTAAACTTTTTTTTTTTTTTTGAACAACAAAAAAAAACGCGATTTGCCGACCGGATCGGCTGTCTCGCCTCCTCGGGGGCCAAGGAGCGACTGGGCCTCGGCGTCGGGCCAGAGCGCTCTGCCTACGACGAAGCGAAGCCGGCCGGAGCCACGGGGACCCCATCGATCGCCCTCGACGTACAATCACACGAACTCCATCGCAATTTAATAAGGAAAATTCGGTATTTTCATCCACAATTTGATTTTATATATAACTCGATCGATATTTGACGTCTAAAAACGGGAGGCAAAAGTTAGCTGTTCACTGAGACAAAGGGAAATGGACTTTTTTGTACTCTACCTGATCACTCTAAGATAAAATCAAGGTTTAATTAATTTTTTATTGAGCATTGTAATTCCCTTTGCACCTGAAATTTCAATATTTTGAGTCGTCCTAATCAAACCCGTTCAGGATTTTTTGTAGTGACTTTCTGCCTTTAAACAAGGAACGGTTGTATTCTCATTAATAAAATGTGCATGGAAGAAAAGCTAAATATTATAGAAAAGGACTTCAGAAAAGACTTTGGCCTAAATGTAAAGTAGAAATATTCCCGTTCTTACAAGAATAGCAGGAAATAGCCAACTGGCTTTCCAATGTCAGAAAATGGTCAAGCTAAAATTAGACAATTCGAAAAAAAGGCTAAAGAAAAGAACACACAAATAAATTAAATGTGATAAATTATTCACTGAAAATAAAATATGGAAATTGGAAAAAATTACAGAATGGTAAAAATTTTTGCAAATTGGAGTCATCTGAACTCGGTGACAGTTGACAACGGGCCTCGGATTGAATCCTCTTAAGAGCCTCAACAATGGATATCAAGAAATATTTATTTATAGGTTGCTAGTAAAAAATTAAAAATTAACTTTTAAAAAAGTAACAGTCAGACTCAGCCGCCCTACTAAAAATGTATCGATTTTCATTGCTTTTCATATGTTGGTGAACCATCACAAAAAGTAGGTAAAATCTTTTTTTTTTTATTATTATTATTATTATTATTGGCCTTATGATCTTGCATATTAACCATAGTACGAATTCTTGTGTGTTCAAATTGGGGGTTATCGGGAAAAAAGGGCCAGAGGCGACGGTGGGAATCGAACCCACGACCGCGGCGTGAGAGTCTCTCATGGTAACCACTCGGCTACCGCGGTCCCCTAGGTAAAATCTTAAAAGAGGTATTAGCGTAGCTTTTAAAGGTCAGACCTTAAAAACAAAGTTGACCACTTGTAAAAAAGCAATTTTCACCAACTTAAGTGTAATGATGTTTGTTGATCGACCTGCAGGTAATCTATGTGGCTCAATCTTCAAGGAGGTTAGGAGAAAGGTGAAGAAAGGAAAATACTAATTGTTGGGTTCACCAAGCTTTCGGTAACTTATAGCGCCATCATCAGAGCTTCCCCTAGAGTGCAGAAAACGACTAACATGGTAAAACTTTAGTAAGGACATCTTGGGTTAAGGCTATAAAGCACATGGCCAGAAAATTACATTAAACATGGTGAAAACAGTCATCTCGCTAACAGGATTCTCAAAATCGTAATAAATGTTACCCATAAGAAATTGCAAGTCAGAACAGATTGTTGAAACCGCAATCGTATGGATTTTATTAGCGAGTTGACTGTTTTCACCGTGCTTAATGTAATTTGCTGACCATGTGCTTCATAACCTTAAACCCAAGACGTCCTTACTATAATTTTACCATGTTAATCGTTTTCTGCACTCTTGGGGAAGCCCTGATGATGGCACCTATAATTTATTTATTTATTTACGGATCGAAATCCACTATAAAAAAGACATTTTACGATAACAAAAAATATAAATAATATATGTAAAAATACAAATAATATATATAAAGAATAATTAGAAGAATATATACATGGTAATAATATAAATGGTAAATATAATGATAAACATAAAAATACAATTAAAGAGTAAAAACTGAACAACAAAAATGAAAGACATAATTACTAACCAAATAAGGCAGAGGAGACAAAATAAAGCTGAAAGACAATTGAAACTACAATAATTAGGTACATATTTAATGAAAATAATGCTCTTTGTAAATATATAATAAGACTAGAGTGCCAAACTGTGGCAGGTTAAGAAAGAAGTCGGTCCCTGGTCCACGGAGAACAGTTCAAAAAGGGAAAAGGCCATACTGACAAGACTGCATAGGTCATACGAGAATAACGCACGGGCACCTTCTGGCCGGAAAGCGACNGGTTTTTCACAGATTGCACAGAACTATTGAAGAAGTCAATGCTATTGCAGATGTTATTACTCTTGATCATCATTCTGTGTAGAGGAGAAGAGAGCATGTAGTTAGAGCTTTGAAATTCAATATAAAATAATTTATAGGTTTTAAGAGAGTACAAAGGGACATGTAGCTGTAGTTGAGAGAGGAGATAAGGACTATCAATGAAATTGTTTAATAATTTAAATACAAAAACAATATCAAAGTAATCCCTTCTTAGTGCCAGTTCGAAAAGTTTAAATTCAGAGCGGATTCCAGGGTAGCCAGAATTCGGAGGAAGATTGAGTTTGTAGGAAAGTTTTTTTTAAAATTTGTTTTGTACAGATTGAAGAATTTTTTGATAATTTAGATAGAATAGGTTCCAAACAGGTGTAGCATATTCTAGTATGGGTTGTACAAAAGCTTTATAAAGATGGACAAAACGTAGAGGATTTTTAAATTCATAGGTGTTCCGGATGATGAAACCTAGTATCTTCATAGATCTATTTTTGATTGACACGGCGTTCATCAATGTAAGGTAAAGGTCCCAGCTATGAATCCATTGGGTTGCAGCCGCATCCTCCTTTATTTTTTACTTTATTTTATTTATTTGTTATTATTATTATTTTTTTTAATTCTACATTTTACTCTTCCGTCTATGTTTTATAGATTTTATCTGCCCGCTTATTTTTCTTTATTCTTCTTATAACTAGGTATTAACACATATTAATAAATCAAAGCTGATATATTTATATGAAAAAAGAGATACATCACTAAGCCTATGTCAAAACTGAACTGTGATTGCTACCGAGTACTATTACATTTTCACCTAAACTGAAGATGTTATGAACTTGATGATAACATTCTACTCTCTTCAGTTTTAATTTTGTAGACTTAATAGAAGCAGGGTGTTGTTTAATTATTATTTGAAGTATTAGTGCAACGGAGTATGTCGGTAAGACAGTATTGTATTTTTTATGTATTTGTTAGGATTTTTCTTATTTTTTTTAGTACATTTTTAAAATTCAATTTTTCCATCAATTCTCCAGGTTCGCCTATCTTGCCTTTTATATGCCTTAGAATGTCACTCTTTTCTAGTCCATGAACGCCGTGTCAATCAAAAATAGATCTATGAAGATGCTAGGTTTCATCATCCGGAACACCTATGAATTTAAAAATCCTCTGTTTTGTCCATCTTCATAAAGCTTTTGTACAACCCATACTAGAATATGCTACACCTGTTTGGAACCCATTCTATCTAAATTATCAAAAAATTCTTCAATCTGTACAAAACAAATTAAAAAAAAAAACTTTCCTACACACTCAATCTTCCTCCGAATTCTGCCTACCCTGGAATCCGCTCTGAATTTAAACTTTTCGAACTGGCACTAAGAAGGGATTACTTTGATATTGTTTTTGTATTTAAATAATTAAACAATCTCATTGATTGTCCTTATCTCCTCTCTCAACTACGCTACATGTCCCTTCGTACTCTCTTAAAACCTATAAATTATTTTATATTGAATTTCAAAGCTCTAATTACATGCTCTCTTCTCCTCTACACAGAATGATGATCAAGAGTAACAACATCTGCAATAGCATTGACTTCTTCAATAGTTCTGTGCAATCTGTGAAAAACCTTATCCTACAACCTTAGTTGAGTGTTTTTATATTTCATACTGTACAAAATTATTACAATTTATTTCATTTATTGGTTCAACTAATTCTCGTACTCTAGTCTTATTATATATTTACAAGGAGCATTATTTTCATTAAATATGTACCTAATTGTACATATTTGTAGTTTCAATTGTCTTTCAGCCACATTCCTCTGCCTTATTTGGTTAGTAATTCTGTCTTTCATTTTTGTTGTTCAGTTTTTACTCTTTAATTGTATTTTTATGTTTATCATTATATTTACCATTTATATTATTACCATGTATATATTCTTCTAATTATTCTTTATATATATTATTTGTATTTTTACATATATTATTTATATTTTTTGTTATTGTAAAATGTCTTTTTTTATAGTGGATTTTGATATAAAAATAAAAGATTTTGATATAAAATAAAATAAATAAATGCCTAAATCGTTCGGCCACTGAGGCCCCCTCAAATGTATGTTATTAATTATACCTAGTTACAAGAAGAATAAAGAAAAATAAGCGGGCAGATAAAATCTATAAAATATAGACTAAAGAGTAAAATGTAGAATTAAAACAAAACAAAAAATAAAATAACAAGTACAGTAACATAAAGGCGGAAGAGGCTGCTGCCAGGACATCCCAATTTTCATAACTAATCCCTGCAACCCGGCCCTAAATCGCTAAAAATGTGTTTAAGATATGATTAAAATAAAATTGAAGCATGGTTTGGCATGCTTTCATTAATAAAAGCTCAGTCAATAGGTGAATAGAGATCATCATTGACTAAGAATATGTCATGCGTGGTTGACACACAGATACTCGCTTTTCTATAACCAGCGTAGAAAGAATAGCCCCAGATCTTTACTCCTTGTCAACAATCCCATTATTGTTCATCTTTTAATAGTGCAATAAATAAATTTTCGATCAATGCCTGGTTTAATATTTCTTTTAAGCCATTTATGTTTAGTGGCCTAATTGACCATGTACATTATTTCAATTGATTGAGTCTTGAGATGAAAAAGTAAGTGCCATGAGTGGGATCCCAACCCATGACCTTTGGCACAATACGCCGCTGGTCTAACCACTTGAAGTCATGATAGCTCAAGTGGTTCGAGCAGTGGCATATTGAGCCAAAGGTTATGGGTTTGAATCCTGCTCAT